TTTTTAAAATCCAATGTGTGGATCACATAATATTTCAAAAATTTTGACTTTTGAGTATAGATGATCCGCACTGTATTTCCAGAATATCTATAATCACAATAAGGTTCATCATTGATGCTGTTAACTAATGCTAAATCATGAAAACTTATAATATTTCCATAAAAGTTTATATTATCTTCAATACAATGAGCATCTCCATTATTGTGACATATTGTACATCCAGGATCCATGTTTCTATTTATTGTTGATTTAGATAATTTATTTTTATCAAGTTTAAAAATAATACTTTGGTCCTCTTCAATAAAATAACCTTTATCTGGAAAATTTTCTTTTTTATTCCAACAAACAGGTTTATAGCCACCAACTAATTCACCAGTTTCTTTGATTTTCATTATAACAGTTTGTTCTGCATCATAGCATTTCTTCTCCAAAACTGACCTAGAAAACTCATCACAAGATCCACAAAAAATTAATTTGAATTGGTAAGGAACATCATCTTCATTATATGGTAAAATTTTCCAATCAGTCCATTAGAATCTCCAAAACTGACCTAGAAAACCCATCACAAGATCCACAAAAAATTAATTTGAATTGGTAAAGAACATCATCTTCATTATATAGTAAAATTTTCCAATCAGTCCATTAGAATCTCCAAAACTGACCTAGAAAACCCATCACAAGATCCACAAAGAATTAATTTGAATTGGTAAAGAACATCATCTTCATTATATGGTAAAATTTTCCAATCAGTCCATTAGAATCTCCAAAACTGACCTAGAAAACCCATCACAAGATCCACAAAGAATTAATTTGAATTGGTAAAGAACATCATCTTCATTATACAGTGAAATTTTCCAATAGTCCAATCCATTTAGAAATTAAATGTTTCATTTGTAAATTTAACATTTTTCCAGATTCTGCTCTTGAACCTTCATGAAGTAATTTGTCATTTTCAAATATAAAACCCACTTGGTTTTCACTTCGATTATTAATAATAGCTTATCATTTTTCTTGTAAATAAAATCTGGATTTCCAACAACCTCGTCTTCTTTTGAAGTCTGCTTGAATGTTTCCATGAAGTTGTAACGATATGGAGATTATCAAATACATTATTCTTTAAAGCACCTCTTCATTTGATATATCATATGGTTTATCATAATTCTTAAAAGATGGTTGTGGATATCGTTTCTGGTTCCACTATATAAATATTCATCATATATAATCACCAATTCATGTTATCAATGTAGAAAACAGTTGAAATTGAATGAATTACCACCAATAAAATAATTGAATCTTTAAATCAAAGTAATGATTTAGAAATTTTAGAAAATATTAATGATAATTATGTTAATGACAATGAATTGAAAAAGTCCTTAGATGATGATGAAATAGTTCAAATGGTTTTGGATGAAGTAAACAATGAAAATAATGAACCAAAAATTAATGTGACTATTGTGAATGCTTTGAAAGCAGTAGATATGTTGATTGAATATTTTGAGCATCAAAATGATTTAGAGTTTAATGAGAATGATTATAAAAATTTAAAAAAAATATAAAAGAAATATTGAGAGAAAGATTTTTCTCTCGAAAACACAAAGAAGTTTAAAACCTTTTTATAATAAATAATTGAAACTATTTTCATATTATTATTATAAAAAAAAAAATTTTTTTTTTATTAAATTTTTTATAATCACCAAAAATCTCTGGTACCGATCATGTGATTATAGAAGAATCTAACATGTATGTTCCAGAATTTTGAATCCTGGTAAATAAAGATTTTGGATTCTAGGATTATAATTATTTAAAGACATGAATAAGCTACAAAGTTATTTATTATATTAATATTAGATTTTGATTGTATGCAAAATATTTAATTATTGACAAAAGGTTTAGAGTTCGCATACGAATCAGGTTGAATGTAATTTGCATATTTTATATTTTTTTTAGGCTACAGACTCAACAACAGCAACAAGCAGATTTTTGATTGATTTTTGAGTTTTATTTCTCGTAAATTTTCTCTTGAAAAAAATTCGAAGTTTTTAAAGTTTTGGGTGTATTGTAACTATTCCGAACATTCAAAATTTTGATTTTTTTTTCAAACGGCAATTATTATAATCGTTGAATAATCCATCGCAGGTATAAATACACACAAGAATTTCTCACATCCAAATTAATTTTAAAAAAATGGGAGTTAAAATTTTCGGATTTAAACTCTCGCTCGCTACTTCTTACCCTTGAAAAATTAGGTATAGAATGTGAATTTGAAGTAAAAACACCTAAATTTGCAAATAACTAATCTTATTAAATTTTCTCGTATATACTTGATTTTTTCTTCCTGAATTTGCAATTCACATATTAATGTTAATATGTGAAATTCAGAATTTCATACAACATCATCATGGCAAATTAAAAATGATTTTTTAGAAACCATATACCATTCGTTAATCTTGTTATGATAATAAAACCAGATCTTTATTGAATAGATTATTTTGCACTTTTACAAGTACACCATTTGTAGCTCATGAATACTATTTATTGGATAGACCGTTCAGAAAAGATGAATTGAAAAGTAGATTATTTGTTAATCAAGATTATTTTTCTCTTTACACAAAACCAAATATGAATTTCGATAAACGAATAAATATATTGCCGAAAAGCCACAATTTTCATTGTATATGTTATGACCCTCCTTTTATGATGGCAACTAAAAGTTTGAAGCCAGAAAATACATAATTTAATAAATTTTTTTAATGAAACAATGTTCTATTCTAAAATATTTCATCAACCAGAAAGATATAAGTTTATACAATGGATTCAAAGAAATCCAAATGGGTGGCTGTTCCCAAGCATGTCTGTCATCTTTTCTCAAAATGATTTGATCCTTGGAATTTTCATTTGTGTTTTCTAATGCACATTCCATAAAATACCCCCAAAACAATGTAATAACTCAAATAACCGTGCCTTACTTTTTTGCAAAGTGTCAAGGCAATATGGATCAAAAAAATTTTTTAATTTTGCCAAGTTTACAATACATTGTAACTCCTGTCTGAACTAAATAGATGACGATTAATTATATTTTAACTACATAAAGGATAATAAATATAAATAAAAAAAAAAACAAGAAATCAAACTCGACTCAACTCAACTCTCTAATTCGCAAGAGCCTTTTCACAATGTAAATAATTAAATTAATTAATTTTTGTTGTATTGGTGGCCCTTTTTGTCGCCCGTATTCATTTAATAAATATCAAAGGACGACGATCCTGCTGTTGTCACCAAGTACCAATAATAGCTTAAATTTTGGGCTACTCTTTCCGACACAATAATTTGGTGCTCGTCAACTCATAAGCTTACCAATTTACTTATGGTTGACCGACTTATTTCGGTCGTTTATATTTATTGTCTGATTGAAAGGGCTGGCACATACTCTTAACGAATTCTTTTAAAACAGTTTCCAAACTTGCTTTAAGACAATTATCACTGAAATGCGTAGCCATTCTCTTTGGATTCCACATTCTATTACAAAAACTACAATTGGTTTGATAATGAATGATGTGACCTTTCCCCAGATTTTCGGCCACCTCTCTATTTTTCATCAATAGAATTGACGTAAATTTATTTTAAATCTCCAAATTATCCAAAATCACAAGAATCTGGGTAAAAAAATAAATATAATTGATTGTTTTTCTCACGATATTACATTATTAACGATAGATGTAATAGAAGAGAACATCCAAATTTCCTATAAATATATTTTTTTGCTTTCTCAAACAAAAAAAATAACAATATAACAAATAATGTCATTATCTAAAACAGCACAAACAATAAATATTCAAGTAATAATAATAATAATAATAATAACATATATTTTATTTATATCTCAAATATGTTAAGAGATTAAATGTTTTCGGAAACTTCAAAACTTGATACTCTATCAATCACCAATTGGAATTCGTGTGATTTACTACCATCATCATTTATTTGTAAAATAATATATATATGTAGTTTACTTATTAAACTATAGGCATAGAAATTTCTGGTCGAATCGAACATTCGGGTTCGAGCCAGTAATTTTAGGATAGAAAAATTTATAATAACAACAAACTGTGACGGTTTAAACCGAGATTTTATGTACATTAATATATTATAAATAATCTATTATACTATTATTATTGCCTAGATAAAAGAATTGGAATCCATGTTTTTGTAGTTTACGTATAGGATTTAATGTTTCTTCAAACTCGAGTAATAAAAAATCAACAAGCTTCAATTAAATTCGGTTGTTTGTATGTAAAAATCGAAATAGTGATAATAATATATTAAAACTGTGTGATAGGGTCATCATCATCTTGTGAAAGAAATTGGGTAATATCGAATTTCGCGTATAAATAGTTATGAAACACGTGATAATTAAAATTTTTAAATTTTATTATTATTATTTTCTCCTAAATTCGTAAATTCTTTTTTTCATTAATCTAAGGTTATATATAGAAGGATGGTTAGTATTAATAATCAAACTTCTCTTGAGATCAACGAAAGATATCAAGAACGTTTACTCGTAAGAGCAAGAAATTCAAGGTGTGCAACTTTATAAAGTCTCATGAATATAAATGTGTGTATATATATATATAGATACTAATTATGAAAATCTCACATTAATGTTTAGATTTAGTCGAAGGAATACAATTAAATTACCCGAAGGTGTAGATCCACTAGATATGTCTTTTGAATCAATATTCGATGATTCAAATAATGAACAAGGCGATGATGATGATTCTAAAAAACAAAAGCAAATCCCTGCCGCATCTAATAATAATTCACCTAAATTGCCTAATTCATCTAGAATTCCTAAATCATCCAGAACCACTAAGAAAACTAAACAAATCAATGAACTTGAAGCACGTGTGATGATAGAAAACATTGAACCTCCTTCTTCAATTACAGAAAAAATTGCTAATCCCATATCAGAAATTCGAGAAAATTCAGTTGATTCAAATAATCAAAACTTATATAAATCTACTGAGCAAACGGAAGTAGAAAGGCCAAATGGTTCAATCAATCCAAGTTTAGACAAATCTACTGATCAAGTAGAAGAAGAAAATTCAAATGATTCGAGTAATCAATATTTAAATAATTCTACTAATCAAATAGAAGAAGAAGAAAAGCCAATCAATCTAGATAAACCTGATATCAATCAATTAGAAGAAGAATATTTAAATTACTCAAGCAATCAATATTTAAGTAAATCAGCCGCTGTTCAAGTAATAGAAGAAAGGCCGAGCGAATCAAACAATCAAAATTTAGAAAAGTCAGCTGCTGTTCAAGTAGAAGAAAAGTCAAGTGGATCATCTGCCAAAATATCATTAACTGACTCTGATTTTTATAATCCATTTGAGAATAGAAGAATGACTAGACAAAATAAAGGTTTTACCAGAAGACAGTCCAGCAGATTCACATTAAATATTGATATTACAGATGAGATTGATGAACAATTAATTGCTGCGCCAAATAAAAATCTAGGGTTTACCATGATAGAAAAACAAGATTCATCTCCTACAATAGCATTAGATGAAATCAGTAACAATAACACTTCCATATTAGAAATTATATCAGATGATCAAATATCTACGTCCATGAAATCACCAAATAGTCAATCACCTAAACCTAGTGATATAGAAGAAGACAGTTATTTACCTTTGATTAATAATGATAATGGTATTGATGTTTTTTTCAGTTAACAAATAATAATTTCAAAAAATTTTTTTTAAGTAATTATTTTACTGATCCTAAACGATAATAATAATAATAATTTAATAAGAAATTTTCTCAGGGTTTGATGGCACATTTGTACTTGAACCTTCATTTGCATCATCATTGGCCAAACCAACCTCTATTTTATCAATACTGGAAAAACCAGCATCCTTTGACAATATTCCTATCACAATACCTGTTCAATATGAAACCGATAAAAAAGATGATCCTATAGGCAGGAATGTAATTAATAAAGTATTACCAGAAGAAGAAATGGAGGAAGATGAGGAGGAAAATTTTACTGCTAAACATTTATCAGATCCTAATGAAAGAAAAAGAACAATTTATTCGGCAAATAATGATCAAGAAGAAAGTTCATTTGGAGATGATGACAATCAAGTAATTATAATAATAATAATAATAATAATAATAATAAACCTTTATTTCTCATAAATGAATATTTATGGATTTATTAATAATATTTTTGTTTTTTTTTTTAAGATTGCATTAGAAAAAAGAAAGCATTACACATTAAATGTTAATGAAGTTGAAGATGGCAATATTGTAAGAAAAACAAAGAAAAGGAGTTATTCAAAACATGGAAATCCTACAGTAGAAATTAAAATGATTCATAACATCGTTAATGAAACAATCGATGAATTTTTGTAAGTTGATTATTAGATAAAATATTTGTTTTATAAAAAAATATTTATTAATTATTTTTTTTTATCAGGGATGAATTGGAAAAGGATTCATACAAAAATATTATTGAAAATTTCAAGGAAGAATTTGAAATTCAATTCACAAAACAGGTTTGTCAAGGATTTGCTTTATCAAAATGTTAATAATTATGCATACACATATTTTTGATTTTATTTTATTTTGTAAATTATAATATACCATTAGGCTGAAATTATTCGGAACCAATTGAGTTTACATGAATTCTTTAATCAAAAATTAATACAAATGAAAAAAGTAAAGGATGATTTATTAGAAGTTAAACAAAAACGCGAAATTATTAGTAAAAACATGAGCAAGGAAAGAGAATTATTTAAGAAAGAAGAAGAAGATCGAAAGGTTATTTATTATTAGTTTCTTTCAATAATAATTATTTATATTAATATTTTATTTCTGCCACTTGCATAAATATTTCATCCTTTTGTTTACAGAAATTGGAAGGATTGCATAATTTTCTTTCTAATATTGAATTTTTAAGAGAATCTGTTGCATTAGAAGAAGATGTTCCTGACAAAGAATACAATCATCATCATCTAGACTTGGTATTTAAAATTCATGCTGCGATATTTTTAATTAATAAATAATATTATTTAACATCACAAAAAAAACTCTAATCTCTTTTTTTTTCAATTTAGAATGAAATTTCAGGACTTATTATCAGCATTACATCTCGTACTGGTGATTTAATATCAAATCATAATAGTGAGGAAGGTGCTCTTAGCATTATAAAAAGATATAATAAGTTATTGGAAACTTGTCAAGAAATATTAGAAAAAGAATGTTAATATTATTAAAATATAAAGATATACATATATTAGCATTATCATTAATTCCTTTCTTTTGTATTAAAAAAAAATTAATTTTAAATTTAATCTACAAGTATATAAAAACCAAAAATTTATTTTATTTGAAAATAAAATATTGATTATATATAATATTAATATTGACATTAAAAAGTATTTCGTCAATTTTTTCATCGGATGACTTTTTAAAGTATTGATATTAATAATCAATACTACATATGGGGATTGTGCCAACAAAACTCACTCTGAGCAAACTTGCTTTTTTTTACATAATATTAAAATAACGTAAAGGTTATAATTGGTGAAAATGTTTACATAATAAAAAATCACTGTAGAGATGTATTTTGTTGGTACAATCCTATATGCCTTGTTTATTTCAATTACATGTAAATGGTGCAAGTTATATTAAAAAAAAATAGTTTACACCCTTAAAAAATATTAATACATTATTTAATAATCTTATGAATCACAATGAAAACAAATGCCTTTCCATTAAATTATCAGTAAATTGGTGAAATGATTTTACTAGATTGTTGAATGAATCTAATTCTTATGATGTCTTATTTTTTATAGTATTGATTAACTTAATAATTGTATGAATTGACTTTTAATTATTATTAATCATGCCTAATTTTCCTTTTAATGAATTATCACAAAGTTCATAAACTTGTTCAACTGGGGTTCTAACTTCATCCAACTTATTCAATTTAATTAAATCGTATTGTTCACTGACAAATTCTGTTATATCCTCAATGCTAATTATCCATTCATTAGAATATTTTTTTAATACATCACCTTTTAATCCAAGTTGTATCGCTCTTCTTTGCATCTTTTCTGTGAGTAAATTGTGATCAGGGTCCCATTGTAATCTTACTTGTGATGAATTTAATTGTTGTTTCCATTCTTTTTGTAAGGATTTAATATTTGAAGAAGAGGTGTCATTAAATTGATCGAGGCTTGTTAACACTGCTTCTGATAAAATTTCTTCAAATCCTTGTCTTGATAATTTTATTGCCAAAATCTAAAATAAAAAAAACGAGGGTCAGAATGGTATTTATTTGTAAATAACAAACATCGCACATATAATTAATTACTCTTTCTTGATTAGGTTTAGTGGCCCATCCAGACCTATACATCATCCAAGTAAAATTCGTTTTAATCCATGTCATTCTCTACATTATAATGATATAAATAAATAAAGGTTAAAAATAAATTTTTTAAACAATTTCGAAATTCCTTTATATAAATTTACCGTCCATGAAAAATCATGCCCACCAAATTTTTGATGTTGAACAGCATAATTAGCAATAGAAGGGTTATAAGCTTGATAAACAATAATTGAATTGTCATCAAATTGACCCATAATATGACGTCCACTTTTTGGCCATTGTTGTAATTGGGTAATATATAATTCTGTTTCAAGTGTAATCATCTTTGTAAAATAGAGTAAAGAAATACAAGTTGCAGATCCCGGGATTTGCCAAAATTAAATGTTTTAATGTTATTATTATTGTAAACAAGTCTTGTATTGATAACAACGAACATACTAAGGTTCAGGATTGGTTACCTTATATGAGTACATAAATTTTAATATTAATTTTAAATAATCCTTGGAGACTAATAATTGTAAAAATTTCAGCTTTTTATTCTTTGGAAAAACAAAATTTCACTCTTTAATCTTTGCTTGAATTTATTGTAACATTGTCATGAGAATTGTATTTATGTAAAAATTATTGACACTCACAGAAAAAGTGTTAAAATGTTTGGTAAAAGCATAAGAACATTAATGCTGATTAAAGAATTAATTATAATTAAAGCTTAAACTTTGAATGTGTTAATTATGCTGACTACTAAATGTTTTTAATATTAATCAATAGTATATCCAATATAAAATATTAATATCATGAATGTTAAAAAATTTTGAACCCTGAAATTTCTTGGTAATACAAATATTCACTTTGTCTGATTTTGTTACAGCATGCCCCATTTGATAAACTTTCAAACGAATCTAAATTTATTTAATTATGTTATGTAATTGTTGAAATATGCAATTTTTTGTCACTGCTGTTTTTTTCTTAACACACTGTATATAAGAAAATAAATTTGAATTTTCTTACATCTTGAAATTAAACCATTATTGACTGACAATTTGTTGTACTGTCATCTAATATGTTTGATCTATATGCTTTTCTCATCTTTCAACTAATAACTGAACATTTAAAAGGTGCTAGCAGATGGTCTTGATGTTCTATTCACTGAAGTTCAAAAGAAAAAACGAAAAAATTATTTTAAAAAACCAATAAATGAACTCCTATTACATAAATTTAGGCGATAGCATACTTTCTACAAATTAATAGATTGTTGTGGATTTTGAATGGATTATGAGAAAACAAGCTGGTAGTATTTATTTCAATTATTATAATTAGAATTTTTTAAAAATTTTTATAAGGCAAGCAAAGTATCACGTTAACTCATTTGTAACGTATATGAATTGACCTAATTTTTCCAGAATCGATCTCCAAATTTGGATAAAATCAGCATGGTGGACATTCGAATGTTGCACCAATTTTTTATGCCATGTAACGTAATTTTTAAAGTAAAAAAACCGTGTGCTCAATTAAAGTGGCGACACGTTGACGCGTGACACAACTGTAACTTTACAGAGATATTCTTTAACGTTTTTTTAACTTAATTCCAGCTGCATCCGTCGGCATCCGCGATTTTGACATACTTTACTTAGTACTAACATTTCCAATATGTTA